AGTTATAATATAAAAAGTAAATTGATCAGGTTCCATCCTTCTTAAACAACTTATTTTCTAAAGGGCCATTACCTAATGTTGGTCCTACCTATCTGGGGTTTTGTGAGGGATAGACAGGATTCAGACCTAACCTCCTGCATTTTTCCCACTCAGACCTTAACTGGCATTTCATACTTGTCATTGCAGATATATATGCCCCTTTCTTCTATCTTCTTTCTCTTATAATTCAATCTTGTGAACTTTAGTTTTGACTAGTAGTTTCTTTATTTCCTCTCCATTCTTGATTTTCCTTCTTTTATTTATGGAAAGAACGGAAATGTAAACAATATGGGAAAGAGAAAACATTTTTATGAGGGAAAATTTTAAAAGTTGAAAAGGTGGAAAAGAGGAGTTTATCTTTTTTTTAGGAATTTTGTTGGTCTTCCTTGATTTCTTCATTCTTATTCACGTGTCCTCTTCTTTCTTCCTTTTCAGTGTTCTCTAGATAAATAATGTCAACAAAGGGAGCAGAAAACCTTGTTTTCATCATAGAAGAAGAAAATATTTTAGAAAAAAAAAAGAAACTTTTCATCCCCTTTAGGTTGAAAAAAAAAATAAAGCATTAAGAAAAAGTATGTTAATAGTAAATTTTGGAAAAGTAGCCTAAGTACCTATTGCAATTTTGGTAATGCTAATGTTTATCTGCAATAAATTTCTATATTTCACTCTACAAGAACAAGAAGCGATAAATAGGCACAAATTGCAAGAGGGAGAAACAGGATAACCAAATATATGTATTAGTCACCGGCAACAATATACTTGCAAACAACGGTGACCACTTCAGCAACAACCCATCTAAAAATGAAGCTGAAAATGAACCCCCATAGCCATTCAAAGTGGGATCTGAACAAATTAAGACATAAATGGCACTATTTTGCCAAGCCATGGTGGATAAGTGTTATATGTTAAGATGTATGGCACTTGATTTTTAACAATTCGAGGCGTCCAATTTCTTTTAAGAATAGGTTCAGCAGCTCTGTTTCCACTAAGATACATTATAACTTTTATGGTCTATAACTATATCCAATAGGACTGATCATCAATTGACAACGCTTTAATACTGTGGCATGTGAGAATCCTACCGTGTTTATCATTAATTAGCTGGAAGACATGCAAAGTTTACTATCATTAGATTCTCTGAATTTTGGAGCCAACAAATGATTAAATCGGCAGGGTTCTCACGACTTACTGAATGAGAGTGTTCTCATAATATCATCACTCATCTAATAGACGGGTATCAAACACAGATGAGTGCACAGATTTTACAAGCTTAGAATTAGATTAGCTTTCACCTTCAACATCTCAATATCATCAAATAGTATAAAGGTGGTGGCTGAAGTATTACTCTGTTCAAAATCCATGTTTCAACCTTTAACCGACAAATGGGACTAAAAGAATTTGAAAGACCGAAATGCTGGCACTCATTCAGAAAAAAAAAAAAAAAAAAAAAAACTGTTGTTATAATGACAAAACATATATGGTTCATTAGGAAATAATTAAATAACCAGTTTACCAACAACCTTATTTAAAACCATCTCGCATTTAAATGATTTATATCTGATCTACCACGGAATTCTTCATTCCAGAACCAAACAAACCAAAAACCTTATTTAAAACCCTATAGTTCATTAAGATGCCGACGCACAAAAAACAGACCCTAGAGAAGCTCACCTCTCGTGGAATGGTGTCAGTAATTAGATCTTCGGGCAACTCTCTCACAAACGAGTGGTCCCAATTCAGATCTTCAAGCTTCAGGCGAACCTTATCGTTCCCCAAGCTCTTTCTAAGATCATCCGTCACCGACTCCACGGACAAGTTCCCGCTTCTTGGAGACGAATCCATTGAAACACCAGTAGAGAAATGCCCTCCAGCCTCGCATGCAATAGTGGATCTCAGGAGGCCGGCCGGAGAAATCGTGAAATGCCTGTAAAAACTGGCCGGATAAAGAAAAAGTGATGATTTCGGGAGACGAACACAATATGGCGGAATAGAAGAGAGGAGTATTGATCAAAAAATAGAAAAGAATAGGAGGGGCATTGATTGTTTGTGTAAAATCCCCCCTCTCTCTCTCAGAAACAAGTCCACTTTTGTCGGTCMAACGGATAAAAGTGTGAGTGTGAGCGTGCGTCCAAAGCCGAGCAATACGTGACAGATGTTAGAAAAAGCTCGACTGCATCGTGCCCGTTTAGAAGGGCTTTCATGTGAGTCCAGATCTGCCTTCTCACATTGCGCGCCTCACATTGACGTGTGTCTTGGCCGCAAATTAGGAATATCTCCCATAGTTATATYAATGATTCATGGAGAGATATTTCTAATACAGGCTAGGATGTGACTGTGAGATCGGCGTGAGGCGCGCGGAACATTTCCCAATTCCTTCATGTAGCAGAAAGCCCTAAAATATGAGTCTAGAACTCCAGATCTCCTGCGATAGGTATGAGGGTCCTGTTAACCCTCCGTTAATTTCTTACTTTTTTATATTTTAAAATTAAAAACCTAAAATGTTAAATAAATAATATAGTTTGGATTATTCAATCGATGGAGGAAAAATAAGAAGAGACAACTTAAGATTTAGGAAGTATTTTGAAGCTGGGAGTTCAATTGATGAAGGATTTGCATAAGAAAAAAGCATTTGTGTGAAAATAATATTTTGAAATAGGGGTTCTATTGATCAATGATTTGCATAAGAGAAAATGATTTCTCTTCTTCTTTTGGTAACTTGTCCTTGACTGAAACTAGAAAATTAGCTTCAAACAACGTGAGACTTGTAGCCTTAACTAAAGGTTGAAGATAAAAGAAAAGTCTATTTGCATATGACTTACGCTTTTGATTGAAGATTTGAGAATTTTAAAAGATTTTGTTCTAAATTTGTAATCGTTAATGTCTTCCGCCTGTTTGGCTTATAGTTGAGCTGGCCTAAGGTGCCATGTGTCTCCTCCATGACCGCTTTATCACTTTGGCCACGTCGGCACCACATCATCAAATAAGCGTGACCAAAACAGGACAGCGTCATACGGATAAGGAGGACAGCTCTATCAGGGATTAGGTCTTATCCCGAAGACCTCGGCAGACAACCTCATCTCGACAACCCCGGAACCCTCATCTGAATTGAACACGAATCTTCAACTATAAGTAGGTAATCCCCGCTCGAGATAAGGGACTTCTGACCTCTAGCATCCATACTGTTATTCTACTTGGACCAACACTGTTCTCTCAACTGCTTGGCCCGACACCCACCGTTCTCGATTAACTTGAACATCGGAGTACCTACATGGGGAATAACTCCTCGGGCCTCTGACTCTGTTCTTGGTTTCAAATATTGTTGCGCAGCTTCGTCCTTCCACCTCGGCTCCGCCCAGTTGGCAGGATTATCTGACTGCAACCTCGGTTCAATAAACACCCTGGATCGAGCAGCATTAGATTGGAGTCATCTGTGGGAAACACACAAAAAGCCTTTCCAAACCCTCTTTCTGCGCAATCAAGAAATATGCCAAGAAACGTATCCGATCGCTTTGCAAGTTGATCCCCACCTCGGGGATCCCGCTCTCACCTCAGTCCTCCACGTTGTGAAACTTAGCAACAACCTCAACTGTAAACCACGATCAGCCCTGCCCAATTTCAGGCGATGCAACAAAAGGTCGACCAAATCCTGACGATGATGCAGACGCTGTGATCCTTGACACAACCTCCTCAGGTCATCCCTCCTCCTACCCCCGATGCTTACTACGACCAATCCTTGCCCTGAGGACCCAAAAAAGCGTCGGTTGAACAAGGATAAGGCACGGTCTGATCAAGAAAGGCAACAGACATCAAGAAGATCAGGCTCCTCATCCTGGCCCCATGAACGTGATGATCACAGCCGAGCACACCAATCTTCTCGGGTTCCGGTAAAAGAAAGGCTCGAAAAAAGAACTCAGCAGCCGCCGGTCTCCATCGCCGAATCTAGTTCGGTCAAGGATCGCCCAGCGGCACCCAAGAAAGAATGGACTGTGCATCCGGCACCGGACAATAAGGACGCGGAGATCAGAGAACTCAGGCAGCGTTTGACCAAGTTGGAACGCAGCCAAGCTAAAAGAAGCGCAGCCCCTCCCATGGTCCGACCAGCAAAGCCCAGTAACCAGCCCATCAAGGAGTCGGCCTTCACACAAGGCATCGTGGACGAGCTCCCCCTAGCCGGTTGAAGAGCCCCACAATTCAAAAGGTATGATGGATCCACAAACCCCAGTGACCACATCGAAGCCTTCAAAGCTCAGATGATGCTGCATGGCTTGTCTGAAGGCCTGATGTGCAAAGCGTTCGTGGTGGCTCTCAAAGGAGTAGCTCTGACGTGGTAGTATTCCCTTCCCCTGCACTCTATCTCTTCTTGGGAGTAGCTGGAGAGCCAGTTCCTGGCACAATTCATAGCCAACCAGAAAACGCTGGAGAATCACTCTAGAGAGTACCTGGCCAGATTCAATTCCGATGCCCTACAAGTCCGATCATTGAACCAGTCAGTGGCCATCACAGCTACCCAACACGACCTGCGCCTCTCTCTGTTTAACTTCTCGATCTCAAAGAATCCTCCTCAAACTATAGCCACACTGATGACCCACGCCTAGAAGTACATCAACACGGAAGAAGCACAAGCACAATTGAAAGATGAGGAAGAACAACACGACAGAAAGAGAAGAGTTCCTAGCGAATGTAAAACAAAGAGGGCGGACTGCGACAACAAGAGACAAGACCACTGACCATACCAAAAACAGAGGACTTTGCCTTTGACCTATAGAAATTTCACGTTGCTAAATGCACCGCAGTTTGAAATTCTGGTGCAGATTCGTGATTGCAACTACATCAAATGGCCCAAGAAGATGAAGTCCCAGAACAACAAGAGGAACTGGGACAAGTACTGCGAGTTCCATTTGGACCACGACCACGAGACAAACAACTATCATGATCTAAAGCACCACCTCGAGGACTTGATCAGTAGTGGATACCTCGGGGGATTCATTGACATCAAGGAGGACAAGCTGAAGGAGGAACTGCACCCCAGACCCCCAGGCCGAGCTCGCCCAGCCGGAGTCATCTCTGTGATCTCAAGAGGGATGGCCTCCAGAGGGGAGAGCAACTCAGGCCGAAAAGCATATGCGCGGTTGCTCAAGATCGACGATAGGAGAGCAGAAAAGAAGACAAGAGGACTCGATCACTTTTATCGACGACAACCTCAAGGGGGTCTAGACCCCGCATGACGACGCCCTAATGATCATAGCTAATATCACAAACTTCAAAGTTTGACACATCCTAGTAGACACAGGAAGCTCAGCCGACATCCTCTTTGAAGAAGCTTTCGAACAGCTCGGCATCGGCAAAGACCACCTCACTCTAGTTAACATCCCCTGATGGGTTTCTCTGAAGAATCCCTCATGCCTAAAGGGAAGATTACACTACCCTTATTGATCGGAGATGGTGACATAACAACCACAACAATGATAGACTTCATCGTCGTCCGATGCCTCTCATCATACAACCAAATCCTCGGTCGGCCGACCTTGAATGCTCTACGGGCCTCTGTCTCCACATTCCACCTCACCATGAAATTCCCAACCCCATATGGAGTGGGAGTAGCATGTGGGGACCAGAGGGCAGCACGACAATGTTACCTGATGTCCTACTGAGGAAAACGCCAAGCTGTAGAAACCCTGACAACAAAGAGCATAGACCTGCGGGATGAGCTGAAGACGCAGCGCGGTCAGCCCATCGAAGACTTGATACAAGTGCCTCTCTCCGAAGAAGACCTCGAAAAGATGGTCCAAGTCAGATCCCTCCTAGAAGATCATATTCGGGAAGATCTCATACAACTATTGAAGGACCATGCCGACGTGTTTGCTTGGTCGGCAGCGGACATGCTGGGGATCGACCCCAAGGTCATCACCCACCGCTTGAACGCCGACCCACACTACCAACCCATCAGGCAAAAGAAGAGAAGCTTTGTTGCAGAACGGTGGCAAGTGATCAACGAGGAGGTCCAGAAGTTGCTCGACGCTGGCTTCATCTGGGAAGTAAAGTACCTAGACTGGCTGACCAATGTAGTGATGGTGAAGAAGGCCAACGGAAAGTGGAGAATCTGCATTGACTTCACTGACCTGAACAAAGCCTGCCCCAAAGATAGCTTTCCCCTGTCGAGGATTGACCAGCTCATCGACGTAATGTCCAGGCACGAACTCCTGAGCTTCATGGACGCGTTTTCAGGCTATAACTAGATCCAGATGCACCCAAACGACCAGGAGAATACTGCCTTCATCACCGACCAGGGACTCTACTGTTACAAGGCAATGCCCTTTGGCCTCAAGAACGCTGGCGCCACCTATTATTGACTAATGAACGAGGTGTTCAAGGACTAGCTCGACTGCAATGTTGAAGCATATGTATATTAATGTGTTTTTCTCTGTTCTTGATTCAGGGCTATTGTTGCAATCCAAACCATAACAAAAGAAAAGTCTTACTTTCTCATTTTTGTGTTATGGAAGAAGCATGTTCTTTAGCTGTAACCCATAGAAAAGATCCAGAAAGAGGAGCTTTTTCGTTTGGGTATTGCAAAGTAGTGCATTTCCTCTATACAAATCCATATCAAAGTCCAAAAACTTGTATTTGACAGTTGGTTCTGATTTTAGCAGATGGTTGATAAAGAAAATTAGATAACACTTTAAGGGTATTTGTGTCTTTTCGCATGCCACTTAAACGACTGGTTAGCGACAGGTACTAGATCGTTGCATTTTGAAAGTTTAGGTACCAGATTGTTGCATTTTTAAGTTCGAGGACCAAATTGTCACTCAAGCCAAAGTGCGGGGTATTGATCGGGAATTTTCCCTTTATTAACTTACTTTTATAAAAAACACTTTTATGAAAGTACTCTTATGAAAACACTTTGTAAAAGTACTCTTATAAAAACACTTTTACGAAAACACTTTTATGGAAGCAAATTTTTGAATGCACTTTTATGAAAGTACTTTAATAAAAATACTTTTACAAAAGCACTTTTATAAAGCACCTTTTACGAAAGCACTTTTATACAAAAAACTTTTATGAAAGTACTTTTATAAAATTCAACTAGAGATAAATTTATAAATGGAATTTTAAAATTCAATTAGGGATAATTTTGGAAGAAAAAATTGAATAAGTTCTTATACAATAAACACTTAATTCAGGCTTATTTCTCAAACACCAATAAGTGCTCAATGGTGTGATCCCAACTCAAATAAGCACTTATTTTTAAGCACTCCCAAACATGGCCTAAGAGAATATGTAGAATAGGTGTCTCAGTCAAATGATCCGGCCCTATTTATGAAATTTGACTAATCACTTGAACAAACATAAACCAAAGGAAATATCTCTCTTAAACAAAGTTGCAAAACATGTTTACATAGACACAAGGAAGAAGAAACCCATACGTTTAAAACAAGGGCTGTAACCAAACTGAAAATGTGAATAAAATTAAATTAAAAATAACAATAAAAGGATAAAGTGTGTTACATACATGTATATGCACACAAGCATATGGCCCAACTCGGCTTGGTGGAGCATGTTAAAAACACACCTCCAACCCCATTTATAAGAAGAAATAGTTCACAGTTTTTGTTTTCTCGTAGACAAGTACTCCCTTGCCAATTCTCCTCATCATAATTCATAGAATAGAGAGATGTGTGTCATTCAAATGATCACTTATGTATGAAGGTTGATCAATCACTCAAGTACACATAAACCAAAGGAAATATCTCTATTAAACAAAAAGAAAAAAAAAAAACTTCAAAGAGAAACAAGGATGAAGAACCCACAATTTAAAACAATGATTATAATTAACTTAAAACATGAACAAAATTAAATAAAACATATTACTAAAAATGATAAAAGGGAGTTTCAAGCATCTAGTAGCCTCTCCTATTGTGAGAAGTTAAGCAAAAATGTTGTTCACAAGATAATATTAATATAAAGTGCAAAGAAAAGAAAACAAACCAAGTTGAGAGCAAGGACAATGACACAAAGACCAACAAAAAATGAGATAGAGACAAATACATGTATTTTGAATATTCCCTTAAAAAATACAATAAAAACAACATGATGTTTTCATGGATTAATTTTATAAAGTTTATTATTATGTGTTACATTAATGACACAAGTTCTAATTATAAATTATGTGTACCTTGTTAGTTTAAAAATGAGTTTTCACCTATATATGGTCACTTCTGCTTTTCTTCGATAGCTTGTAATAAAAAGATCGGCCAATTACTTCTTCCTAGGAGTGTTGTAAATGGTCTTTTATGCATATGATCAAATCATCTTAGCCTATTTTTTTTCTCATCTTAAGTCTTAACATATATCGAGACTATTCATAGGGTATTTTGAATGATTTCATTTTCAACATTATCTTTCTAGTTTTTTCCACACTCATCTATTTTGTTATATACATTTATTTCCACACACATTATTTGAATGTATTGTTTATACACTTTTCATTTGCATCAATATTAATTATAGATCACTTTGGAAGGTGGAGATGAGATCAACCCTATTGCATTGCATGTTCTCTATGGTATGATCAATAGGCTTTAAGGGCACCCCGCACTAATAAATGGGGTCTCCTGAAAGCAAAATACAAGCATCCAATCATGCATTGAAAATATTTCACCGTGAATTTAATATGTATGTACAAGATATATATTCTTTTAAGGTGCAGCTACATGTTATATTCATGTGGTTTTTGCTAGTAGGAGATGTATCCTCACCTCACCCTAGACTAGAGGAGACCAGATCTGCTCCTCACACAGGGCTCACATGCACATCCTACCATGCATTGGGAACATCTCCCATACTTATTATTCATGGGAGATGTTCCCAATGCACGGTAGATGTGCCTGTGAGGAGCAGATCCCGTTCCACACTAGAGACCCTAGTAACACATACTTGACACCAAATACTGACTCAGGCACTCAGTAAGGTTAGGATTTAGGAATGACCGGTTCATTTAGTACATCAATCCGGTCCGGTCGGGTTCAGACGTTCGATTACGTGTCACTGGTTCTTTGGTTCAACTTCCATTTTTATGTCCAGATTTTGCCTATTTAAAGCAAAGGTGCCCCGCTATAATTTGGAGAAACCCGAACTTCTGAAAGCCCTAGACGCACACGCCAGAATGGCAGAATCTAAGCGAAGCGAGCGGGGCCGGACCTCAAACCCAACTACAAATTAAAAAAAAGAGGGCGCTATAAAACTTATTTCAAGTCCGTGTTTTTCCCCGCATTTCCTCTCGTAGCCCCCGACTGTGGTCGACCTCGCTCCCTTCTCTTGCTCTCTCTCTCTCTCTCTCTCTCTCTCCCCCTCTGTTTATTTCACTGATTTAAAACACTCGCAGCGAAATCTCCCACTCGACCCTCGAATTCCCGCTCGAACCCTCGCTTTGCAATCCAAGTAATCGCTTCTCCGCTATGGTTCGAATAAGAACGCGCAAGAAGATCGCAAACTTCTTTTTTGTGGTCGATTGGAACGTCTGCTTCTGAATTTTCCTTCTCTCTCTTTAGCTTTCCTGGAAGTCTGGAGTCGATTCTGTTCGAGCAGAGATACCCAGTTGGAATATAACGTTGTTATGGACTACGGGCTTTCCGACAGCAGCGGTGAGTTACTTCAAGATCCTATCTTTTGACGCGTTTTGCCATCTTTGAGCAGCTTCTGGTGCAAAATTTTCTCTTTCTTCTGATTAGAATATAGAGAATTTTCCTGACATTATTGTTTCGGTGATATTCTCTTGCTGGAGCTGAGAAACGGCGTTATATAGCAGGCGTATGTAGTAGCGAAAGAGAATTAGGGTTTAGAGTTTGATCCATCGATATGAAATTTGTGGTTTTGAGCTGGAGCTTTCCTGTTTTGGGAACATTTTTGTTTTAATTTCTACTAGACTTCGACAGCCAGCTTTACCCAATTGAGTTGAAATCGGTTCCAAGCACCGAAAATGCTAGGGTTTCTGTTTTTTCAACATTTTCTTTTCTTATGCCGTTTTAACCTGGGGACATTGATTATTTATTAATCATGATAGTATTTGGGGTGCTTTTGGGTTCCATAGGAAACCAAACTTCTGTATTTTGGGTTGAGTTGTTGTGCTAATCTTAAGCACAAAAATAGAGGTTCCCTAATTAACTCACAACCATCACCATCTCTAGGATTACATGTAAGAGGCTAAGATCTGAGTTTCACGAGGGAAGTGAGTTGTGCAGGGAGTTATTGATCATTGTCAAGCTGGTTCTCATTCTTCCTTGTCTGTTTCTTGAGTTTTCTGTATCCGCTTCTATGGTAAAAGCGACATAAAGTTTCTTTATCTTGTTTCTTTATTTCCTTTAGACGAGGCAACTTTCGAGTCTGAACGTATGATTTCAACTGAAGGGACTTGTTATGTGGCATTGTGGCCTTCATCTTTTAGCCAAGACCCTTGCAGACTGGGTGCCAATCTTTAAATTTTGCCTGCACTCCACGTCTCAACCTATTTCTTTGCCCATGCACAACTTAGAAGAGGAAAAAAAAAGGATTCACCATCAAAATGAGGAGAAACGTGAACTTGGAAAAAGAAAAAACAACACCAACAAACCATCATAATCATAGGATGCACACTTATAGTAGCTACTAGTAAGTGTGCACTTGATTTGCACATGGCAATTCTAGATGATGATAATGATAGGAATAATGTATCCAAAATTTTCTATAAAATGCATGCATTTTATATTTTTTGTTTTTAACTATTATTCAGATGCAGACTACAATATCTGGATCTCATTATGTAAGCACCTCATATTGGGATACAAAGTTTTGGGTATCATTGGCAAGCCTACCTATTTGGTTGGACTCTTCTTTTTGTAATGTTTGACCTTCTTAGTGTATATATTTTTTGTTTATTTATCGAACAAAAAAATAAGATTTAAAGAGGGAGAATTGAATGAAGTGAAAATTGTAGTTCAAACTACATTTTAAACCTCACAATTAAATAGGGATAAAATTCAAAAAATGGGTATTTTAGTCAAAAAAAGTTTCACAATTTTATTTATATTTTTAATAGTAGTGTAAATATGGAGTTATAGGTGTGTTCAATTTTTTCTATATTTTTTTTTTTATTTCTATGTGCATAAAAATAATATTGTTATTTACCAAATGATTTTTTGTAAAATTTATGTATTTTTATTTATGTATTTTTTATATTTTATTAATTTTTATTATTTACTTATGACATTAAAGGTTGATAGATTTGCCCAAAAGTTGAACTATTGGTCTCTGCCAAATAGGAAAATAATTTCATTTTTTGTTAGTTTTAGATTATTCATTTCATTTTCATAATCAATAAAAATAATTCTTGTTTATTACACTTTTTTCTTTAATTTGATTAATAAAAAATATAATAAATGTGCCTATTTTTTCTACATTTTTGTAATTTTCTATATTTATTTCTATTTAAAAATTTTATTATCTAACTATAACTTCATGGGTTGGCCAATTTGATTTGGATAGTTGAATTGCTTAGTCATCACTTGTAGGGGTGTTCAAATTCGGTTATCAAACCAAGAACTGAACCGAATAATTCAATTCGGTTTGGTTGTTTCAATTTTCGATTCAGTTCAGTTTCAAGATTTTAAAATTTTTGGTTTTCGGTTTTAGGTTTTAGGTTCGGTTTGAGAAAAAATGCAACCGAAACCGAACTGAAAACCAAATTAACCAAAATATACACATATGTTTAGATTTTAATTATAAATATTCATATTAATATTAGCATTAGTATTATATTAACATTACTATTTACATTAATAATATATAATATGTATTTTAATTATAAATGTTGTTATATTTTAATAATAATCATTAATAAAAATATAAAGTACATTTATATTTTAACTAAATGAGTTAACCGAATTAAAACCAAACTGAACCGATTTAAATTAGGTTCAGTTCATGAAAATGACATAACCGAAATGTCGGTTAGGTTCTATTTCCAAACGATTCGAACCGAACCGACCGAATGAACACCCCTAATCACTTAGATAAAGAATAACTTTGTTTTTGAGAAAATTTCAAAATATATGGGTTTATATTGTTAAAAGTATTGGACATAGATCTAATTAGTAGCATTTATTAGTAAAAAAAATAACTTAAATATGGGATTTAATAAGAGAAAATGGGAATTAATGCCTTAAATACAAGAGTTAATGAGAGGGGATTAAATGAGATGAAAAGCATTAATTGAAATTACATTTCAACCTTCATATATATATAATTAGAGATGGACTAAATAAAAAGTGTGGGCATTTTAGTCATGAAAAGTTCCAAGTCCTCATTCGTACTTTTTATAATAGTATAGATTTTGTAAAGAAGACGAGTATCTGAACTTCCATAACAAATATTCATGTATAGGATACTTCATATGGAGAGTAGCTTTGGACAAGGTCCCAATTGCCTTTGTTAATGCACCATTTGTAAACCATTTATCATGTACATTGCAGAGAAGTTGGTTTCCCAACTTTGACTGTGAGGAAATTTGTGATCCTTAAGAAAGTAAAACATATTTGTTGTAATTTTTACAGTTTATGATGGCTAACTATTTTTCTAACCCAAGAAATGGTTGGAGAAAACAGAATTTTTTTTATGAACTTCTAGAAATGTCAAAAGACATGATTACACTCTCTAAATTAAAATACTATTGTAGTACATGAGACAACCATTTACAACAACTACTGGAAGTTTGGGGGAGCAAAAATACTGCTTGCCATGTGTATGAAATACATCATATTTATCCTTTCCAAAAAAAATTGCTTGTTATTGTGAATTAGCACTTCTTTTGATTATTAAGTTATATGCATATGGTTTATGTGCACATAATGGACCAACACAGCAGGAAAGAAGTTGGTATAGTTCAAATGAAACATACTGCATCACTATAAAGATAACAGAATGATATTAGTACAGGTCATGCTAGATCTACTAACGTTTAACCTTAGAATTTGTTAGTATGGATCTATAAAAAAATGTGGTTGAATGATGTGCATTGAAGACAATTTTCTTGCCTGTAAAGAGAGTGGTTGGCCATGGTATGACCAAGTCTGGGGTGCATGGCACTTTTACATGATCTATTCTTTTTACATAATTAATAAAATTCATTTATCTGTTACTGATAAAAAAAGAGGGAATTTTTTGCTACAAGTTGGGGCTCTAAAGGATGTAAGAAACAACATTAGGACTGATGTTCTGTAAAAATGTGGATCGGAGTAGAGTTAAATGGTGGAATGGAATAGTTTAGAGGTCTTTAAACAGGTTAGATGAGGTTTGGTTGGCTTGATATATTATTTGTTTGTCCTATATAGAAAGAAGCCTTTTTATAACAATAGTGTAAAGCTATGAATATTTTTTTATCAATAACAAACGGGTAAAGACTTAATGATGAAATGGTAAACAAGCTCTTACTATCTAATAACAGGAATTACAATGGATATAGAAAACAGCATGATCTTGAGCAAACAAGAATACACACTGTGCTATAAATATATGCCAAATTTACAGTCTTGTCAGTGGACATGAATTTTGATGCTCCCCATTCAAACTGTTGGTTCCCTACCCTACTTCCAGTGAATGAATCAGCTGTGCATTCAGCTGAATGAGCAGTTGAACTACTTGCCTAAAGCCTTAGGGTACTGTGAAGTATGGCTCATAGGTTAGGTTCGTTTTGTGGGTGTGCTTAACCTGAACTTAATGTGATTCACCTGGTTTCTTGCTAGAATGGTTGATGAGTTAACCTTGAAATTTATGTTGATTAGTGATTTACTATGTTGTTGGTTTTTCATTTGATGCTTAGAGTTCAAATAGCTTAGCCTATGAAAGACTAAAACATACAAGGCCTAAACTTCATGTTAACATTATGCTCTAACCTAGACATTAGAGATGTGGCTCATTTTGTGGTGTGTACCCAACCTGAACCCATGGGTGCCTCAATTGGCTTGTAGATGAGTTTTGATAAAACAAACTTGAATTTGTTATTGATTGTTGAATAGGTAATTTACTATTATATCTATGATATATATAGTTTAAATAGTTCAGCCTATATGGGTCTAAGGGCTTGAATATAAGTGCTACAATTTTTGTGTTAATAGCTTGGTTTTCTAAGCAATTGGGTTAATATTTCTTTTTGGAGTGCTTTATTTCTTTCAGATTTTGGATTTATATATTCTTACATTTTAAGTTTTTCTTTTGATTTTTTTTTTCAAAAGTGGCATTTCACTTTGTTTAGGTGCATGCGTTGCCTTGTGCCTTGCTCTAGGAACCTCTTGCACTTCTAATATTTAAAAACCTGAAGGGTGTGGTATCATGCATCATTGTGTCAAGAAGGTGAAACTGCTGTCTTTTAGTGGAATATCATGTTTGAATCAATTTCTAGGTCTGCCACTAATAGTCTTCCAGGGAAGTAATTGGGAGGATTACTGCATTCTGGACAGAGTTGCATGCACTCTCCTAAATGGGTGAAGTGTCTATATGGACATACATCAGATTCCAGCTCTCCATGGTTTCTTGAGGGACACTTCTATATAACATATGCTTTTTGAGAAAATGGTTAACTTCCATTATAAAGCACAAAAGATGTACATGAGAGGATGTACACTAAGACAAAAAATAGAGGGGGTGCCCAGCCCAGCAAAAATCAGGGTAACAAATGGCTGTTAAACAGATGACTCCTATGCACCCCAGCCTTTGCTAGACTGTCAGCCATAATATTCAGTTTCTCTTGTAATCCAATGAACTTGAGCTTCGATTGAGTAATGAAGGAGCTTTCATGATCCTCCCTCTTGTACATAACATATTTCCTTTCTCTCCTTGTTTATTTGACAATAAATGAATGGCTAATGCATGCAATAAATGCTATTTTTCTTATAAAATGCTAAATTAACAAAGCTCAACTTTGGACCTTTTTTCTATAGGTTTTAGAGACTTGGACATCTGCCCAAGTGTTCTCTGTTTACCCCTGTTTGGACAAACCATCAGCCAAACTATTTCCAATACCCAAAATAAGGTTCAATGATTTGCTCACTTTTATTTCTTGAATTAGAGCTAACATCTCCACCCTTATTGACTTCCCATATCCAGATGGATCTGAAAACTCTGCTAGGTGCCCATATGCATATCTAAAAGCTCTCCCCCTCCCTGAAGGGCCTTAATTTGCAATGCAACATGTTGAAATTCAGCTTTATGAGATGAGTACTAGGAGGGCTCTATTGTACTTGTCTTAGATTTCTTCTTGTTGAGAGGCCAGCCACTCATTCAAACCTCTAAATATGGGCAAACATGTCCATGGTTTAAATTAAAAACATAGACTATCATGATAGTTTATACTTCTATATAGATTCTGTTAGTTGTTTTTTTTTTCCCATCTTACCGAGTCAATCTCCAGAGATGCATCAGACCTTGAATCCCATGTCTTTGTCCATGCAACAATAACTTTGGATGGTCAACCCCCAGGTGACAGTTTTATCCTTTTCCTCAGTGGGTGATGATGGCCTTTGGGTGGTTTTGGTTAGTAGTTTTGGGCCCTTGGATGTGCTGAGTCTTTCTTTTGCTTCCTTACCAGATTTCTATTGAGAAAAAATTATCAACAATGGGTGAAACCATTCATTGGTCATTTGGACCTAAACTTATCAACAAGAGGAAGTGTAAAGAAGTGGATGGATAACTTGAGTCAAGTTTATCTTATTTTTAAACATAGAAAGGAGTCTTATTTTGGATATTATCTTGATTTTTATTGAAACTTTGCAAAGTAACCATATTTGAGAGGTATAGGGCAAATGCTGATGCTATTTTAGCTGAAGTTATTTATTTATGGTAACTTAAAATAGGAATTTCTGAAGGAAATTTGAATAGAAGTTTGGAGAAATTGCATTTGGTGTTATTGATAAAAAAACAAGAAATTGCATTTGGTGTTTGACATGCATGTTTATTATGTGTCTGTATTTGTAAACATTTTGAGTTATGTTGTTTCTTATTTAAAAGTATCATAGCATCTAGTTGTCAAGGCGGTGCTTAGGTGGGCGCCTAGGTGATAAGGCATTCATGAAGGGTCGCCACGCTTAATCACCAATATATTTTTGACACGTTGCTTTTGGATACTTTTATATTCTTAACCTTTTGAGATTATAATAATAAAAAATGCATTATTATTTTTCTTATTTGTTAGGGTTCAACCAACATGTATACTGCTTTGAACCCTCAAAGACTTATGAATTTGAATGAATAAGCATGGAATAACTCAAAATTTTATCCAATCAAAACATATTGATTGTTTTCATAATCTTCTTCTTTCTTCCTTTCTTTTCTTTTCTTCTTTTCCTATGACAAAAATAGAGGCTTATCTAAGGTTCAAAGTATCAATATGATATGCCCCGTATTGGGTGTATCATGTTTTATCGTATCGTGGGGGTTCTGATACACCTGTTTAAAGGTGTTTTCAGGAAACCCTTTATTTTATTTATTAAATAATATAAAAATGTTTATAAAAATGAAAATTTGAAAAAAAAGCTAAAAAATGTGCATGGATTAAAGTACCGATATACTCCTGTTGATACACAAAGGTGTGTCGATACCTTAGATCACACTTAGCCCCTCTATTTTCTGAAATTTCTTTTCTTTCTTCCATTTTCATGAATATGTTGATTTTCTATGTTCTAAATGAAACTTATAAATTTTTTATGAAGATTATAGATAATTAATAGTGAAGATGGTTGTTGCTTGCAAACCCAAGGAATTACCTTAGGATCATGGCTTTTATTCAGAAAAACCCATCACCTGGCCTCGCTTTGATGCCTAGAAAACTATGCGTCTAGGGTTCACCGCCTTACTTTGACAATGTAAAACATACAAAGATAACTTAACATGTGGAGCAATGAGTTCCCATGGTCACAACACTTTCTTTTAACCCTTCAATGAAACATGACATGTTATCAACCAATGGGTTTTTGTAGGGCAAAACAGGGTTGTTGAAAATTTAAATTGATCAGGTAATGTCCCGTGTTAATGTTTCTTAACATTCTACTCATAGAGGGTATATTTAAGTACAGTGGGGTCAGTCTACAAGGTATATTTAAATCCAACTTAAAAACATAGGGTATGTTTAAGTCAATTTGTGAAAACTGACGGTATGTTTAAGTTGGCCTTCTTTTTTATTATTTTTCGTATTTGTTAGGGTTCAATCAAGATGTATTACTGTCTTAAACCCTTGAAAACTTTAAAACTTGGACAAATAAGCATGAAGGAACTCAAAATTTCGTTTCATCCTTTTATATTCTTCTTTCATCCTTACTTTTATTTTCTTCCTTTCCTCGGACAAAAATAGAGGCTCAGCCCTTCTATTTTCTGAAATTTCTTTTCTTTCTTCCATTTTTTCCTAGGATAATAGCATTTCAATTTTAATAATTTCAGTACATTAAAAAATGATTATGATATACTAAGTATTTAATAGAGCAATTTCATTTAAAATGTACCCATCCAAAAAGAAAGTTATCAAACTTGCAACTAAAGAAGAATATATTTTTATTTTATATGATAAAATTTAGGAGAGAGTAAGTAAAAGAGAAAAATAGCAAGGGTGGAGCTGCTGTTTTATTTAATGTAAGAAAGAGAGTAGTAAAAAACGTTTACATTTCTATTCTTTCTTTCCTTTTTCCTTCTCAAAACTTATGTATGTATGTATGTACGCCTTGCCTAGGAAGGTGCCTTATCACCTAGGTGGCCGCCTAGTCACCTAGATGGGTGCCTTGTTGCTATAAACAAGGCATCACCTATGTCTAGTCTTAAAGTAATACAAGGGAAAGAGACTGGATGGCGGATGCAGTACACTTTGAACTGAAGGTTAATTTGAATTCTTTTGTGTTCATATGGGAACTAAAAGAGTAAATGTTTCTGTATCTTAACTTTTCTTTATCCTCAAGAGAAAGCAAGTAAATGTTCCTGGTGTTGGATTGTCTTCTTAATATGAATTCTTTTTGCCTATATATAGGAACAAAGAGTTTAAACCTTTCTGTAGGTTATAGTTTTCTATAGCTTTTTTTAGATGCAATATGAACTCTTTGAGTCCATCATCTTCTTATCTAGGCTTTTCTTTTAGGTTCATCTTGTTACCGCCACTTGTTGTCGCAACGTCATCATCTATGACATGAAAATGGTTGTTTCGTCAGTGTTCCATGAATGTTCCTCAATTGAATGAGAAGATCATTCAATTATGATTAAATGTGGCATTTTCTTGAGTTTATTATCCATACTGTTTTTCCATGCTTTTACTCATGTTATATTTATTTCTTAAATGGCCACAGGAACTGATGATGATCTTCCTCCATCACATCAGAACAGAGGAGTTCCTAGAGGAGGTCGTGTTGCAGGAAATGGAAGATCATCTGTTTTAGGTTCTGTCCCATACCCGAGGATGCATACAGATATGGAGACTCAGATCCACCTCCTTGAGCAGGAAGCATATAGCTCAGTGTTGAGAGCATTCAAAGCTCAATCAGATGCCATTACCTGGGTATCTAAAATTGCCTTGTCTGTGCAAAATCATGTTAAGTTCATTATGCTTTCTGTTGACTAGAATTAAGATTGCTTGAAATTTCATTTTCTTACAGGAGAAGGAAGGTTTAATAACAGAACTTAGGAAGGAGCTCAGAGTATCAAATGAGGAACACAGAGAGCTTCTGAGCAAAGTCAATGCAGATGACATCATTAGGCGGATAAGGTCTAATAATGTTATGGAATATGCTTTTTTGATTTTATGGGGTCATATTTATTTGATACACAACTACTTTTGGAAACTTCTATCTTTTAATTGGAAGCTGTACTTGGTAATGCCATTAGGGAGTGGAGACAGGCTGGTGGACTTCAACCTGGTTTTCTCAGTACTGCTCAACCTGTTCATGATTCAATGCCCAGCCCTAGTATCTCAGCATCACGCAAGAAACAGAAAACATCACAATCGGTACCTCCTTTGTCCTTGAATGCACCATCCCCAGCTTTACACCCTCAAGCGGTAGCTGTGTCCATGCAGCCATCATCATCGGCTGCAAAACGAGGGGCTGCAGCAGGAGCCAGGGGCAAGAAGTCTAAATCAGTAAGTTAAAAGCATTTTGGGTTATATTTATTGTGGAAAGATCATAATTAATGTCACTTTTTCTTTGCTTTTTTCCTCTAACAGGGTCAGGCATTGCCTGGTGTATCTTCAATCAAGTCCATGCAATACACTTCCACAGGTGCAGCTGGAAGGGGTCAAGTTGCTAATCGGGGTTCCTCCGGTGCCCTTGTAGCAAATGAACCTGCTGAAGCAGCAACATTTGATCCATTAATTGGGCGGAAAGTGCTGACAAGGTGGCCTGAAGATAACAACTTCTATGAGGCTGTTATAACTGACTATAACCCTGTTGAGGTATATTTGGCTGTTGAGGGTGTTCTTGGTTTTTCTTAGTTGGTCGAGCTGTTTAAGGGTTTTGGTGGGGTTCAGAGTTTGTTTTCTTTTCTCTTTCTGGTGACTACTGGTCACCTTTCTTGTAATTTCTTTTTTCCATTTAATAAATTTTATTTTTACCTTCAAAAAAAGGTATATTTGGTTGTTGAATTGATTTTAACCTTAGTGGAGTATGTAATTAATCTTACAATTTCTGTTTTATTAGGGAAGACATGCTTTGGTCTATGATATAAATACAACAAATGAGACATGGGAATGGGTTAACCTCAAAGAGGTAAGGCTTGAATTAATATGCTTTATCCTATTTCATTTATTAGATATCATTGCTTGCATGCATGTGTGATGTTAGTGTGTCTGCATTTGCTTGTTGTTCATGTAGATTTACAAATATACTTAAATGCATTTTTTGGCTTCTAATTCTAACATGGTGTTACTTGTTAGAGCACTAGTTCCATCTTCTTTTCCCTGTTTTCTATCTTTTGTTTCATTATTTTTCTCCTTGAGTGGTTCACATCTGTCCTGATTATGCATCTACATTTGTTGTGTGTCTCTGTCATGGTTCAATTGTGCAAAGCAAATTAAATAGGCAAGTTGTCATGCAAATGTGCTTCTGTATAGAGACCAATTTGACTCTGATTATTGGGAAAACTGCAAGGATGGATATTGGAAAAACTTCTGGAAGAACCTAAAAGTCTCAAGTAATACAAAAAAAAAAAAAGAAAGGATGCCCACGTGCAAGGAGTTCAAGGAAGCATAAACTACTTTTTTAAATTTGTTTCTACTAGTTAACAACCTACTGTCACAATGGGCATTATTTTGAGACTCAAGCCCGAGCAGGAATGAGAACTGGCTATTTGGCTTGAATTTGGTTTACACTCTTTTTTTTTTTGTTTTGGGGGTGAGGGGTGTAATGCATTAGTGCCTTCAAAAGATTAAACATGATAAGAAATAACTACCCATTAGTAGCCCACTGTCCAAGACAAATATATTGAGAAATGAGAATAGTTCACTCCATTCTACAGTATATATATCTTATAGAGGTAACAAAAGGGACAGGTAACAAGAGATAACCTGTCAGAAAGGGGTGCTGGGCTGTTGGGCATGGATTCTGTTGAGAGATATATTGTATTTGGTTGTATTTGTAATATTGATAAGTTATGGGGACCTATATGTATTTATGTTAGAAAAACAGGCTTATGTGTAATTCTGATGTATTTTGGCCTTTTGCTTATTTAATAAGCAAGTGGCTGTGTGAGATTAGGGAGTGAGGAAGAGCGAGTGAAGAAGAGAGTAAGATGTGTGTGTGTGTGTGAGAGAGAGAGAGAGAGAGAGAGAGAGAGAGTTCTGTCTCTTGTTCTCACAGTGGATATGTTTCCTCTTCTCCTGAGTATGTAGGCTACCAAGCCGAACCTTTGAGTTGCTATTTTATTTTATGTTGGTTGACATAGTACCAGAGCTATTTTATGTTGTTTAACAGATTCAAACTCTTGTACAACATTCTTTTATCATAATTTATAAAAGCTTTTTACCAATCTAAAAAAGCAAAAGTGGAAGGGGTCCCCAGAGCTTTGGGCGCAACTGTGCAAAGCAAGGCATGCACATTCTTGAATGAAGCGAGGAATGTTGACTTGAATTTAAGTGCAAGGGTTCCTAGAAATTTGTAGGTTCCAAGTCTTGCATAGGCTAAAATGTTTAAACTTTAACAGTCATAAGCTACAACCTATAATACAATAAGTTACCTATTCAAGCATCAAATTGAAGATTTATTCATCAAAACATGGCAATGAGAATGGTAGGTAGGTCAATTCTGGCAACACCCCGCAAAATGAGCCTAGGTATTCCTGAGGTGTGCAATAATTTTAGTCAAAGTAAGTTCCTAGGTGTGGGAAATGAAACAGAATGAGTTTTGGGAGGAAGTGGTACAGGGAGGATCCCCTTCAAACAGATCTTTTTGCAAGGAAAATCAAGGGACAGTGGGTGATTGTGCATGAACACGTTCTTCACTTGTGTGGAGCATTTCATTTTTTTTTTTTTTGAAGTGACCATAGTTGTCAAGGTATTAAAATGAGGCCAGGCAACACGAGAGTGTTATATGCATAAAACCTGGTTAATTTAGCCTGCTTCTTAAGTTTTTTTTTTTGTTAACGTGTACTTGTTTCATCCCTCCCCCCCACACCACCACCACCACCACCACCACCACCAGGCATCATATCTCCTTTAGCAAGTAATCTACATATCCTTTTCCTTGAGAAAAGTTAAAGTATCAATATGTTGTTTCTTAAGAATTTGATATTTTAAACTATTAGATAGTTAATAGCTGCTATCGAACAGTTTGTCTTTATCAAACTGTCAAATCAAAACAATAAAAAACAGGAGTATTGTTAGTTCAAAACTGTCTTTATCAAACCATGGTCTTAAGAGTTTTTGAGCTTTCAATCTTCTACGCATTTTACAAAAGAAATTCTATTTAATATGAAGTTGCAATTGTTCATCTCTCTAGTCTCTAGTAATTAAAAAATGATTAATATCTAATAAATTACTTACAGTATGATCAACTGGAGATGGTAGTTGCAGGAATTCTGTAGACCATGAGTTATATGATTGTTTTTTTTCTTGGGATTTAGTTAATTTGTTTCAAATTTGGAAGTTAAACAAGTGGTTGATTTACTGCATATCTATCAATGCCAGATTTCACCTGAAGATATCCGATGGGAAGGTGAGGATCCAGGAATAATTAGTCGATCTGGCCGTGGTGGACCAGGTCGTGGGGTTAAGAAGTCCATTGGCCGTGGTGGTGTTGTTCCGGGTGCAGTAAGAGGGAGAGGGACAACAAAGGTTCCACCCAAGAAAGATTTTCCACCATCGCAAAATGGCATTGGGAAAAAGAGTTCTGATGATATTGAAATACTCCATACAGAAACTCTAATTAAAGAGGTATGGGCAAACAACAAGAGCTCCTTAATGAAATGCTAAATGTTGACTTTGTTTCTCTGATGGTTTTGGACAGGTGGAGAGGGTTTTTGGTGCAACTCATCCAGATCCTATTGAGATTGAGAAGGCAAAGAAAGTGCTGAAAGTAAGGACGCAATGCATCTTATCATGATGTTAATATTTTTATTGTCCTTTAGGAATACGAACTTGATTCCCCCACAAATGGCAGGAACATGAACAAGCGCTGATTGATGCCATTGCAAGGCTCGCAGACGCATCTGATGGTGAAAGTGGTAATTAAAAATTGACTCTTTGCCATGTTGTATTTTACACCCTTCTTTTCCTCCTCTCAAAAGCTTTGAGATTACCTACCTTTGGCTTTGTATAAAATCGTCAGATCAGGTCCACGGTAATTTGTATAAGTTGTGTCTTTTTGTATTGCATTTGATTAAATGTCTCAGATCAAATTCACTGAAAAAAGGGTCTTCAAATCAGATTCTTATCAGTTTTTCCTTTCCCCTACCAATTTCTCAATGTTCTTATTTAACCTGTTATGAAATGCCCTTTGGCATTTTTGCTAAAATTAACTACTTATGTGAATAACTATGCTTTTGTGAGTGGCTAGGGCTCGTTGCAGCCCTGTGTGGAACCTTTTAATTTGTGAAAATTTTTGGCATGTTTTATTTTTTATATTTTCCGAAATAAAATTACCCAAAAAAAAAGAATATACAAAAAGGCTTCTGAAGAATTAGTTTGATTGGATGTGGTCCTTTAACCTTTTGCCTCAAAACAGATGACGGTGAGCACCAATTCTCCCATGGGCATTCAATGGACCGAGAACGAGGGTGGAGAAATCGGCATTATGGTGGTAACCAGCGCGCTTCCGACTTTGATGATGAAATGGCTGCAGATGGCAGGGGCGATGAGAGGGATCATCGCATCGTTGGTGATGGTGATGACCAGCAAGATGGTGATGATGAAATCTAAATGTTTGGCGTTCCAGGGTTTGTACAACGAGAAAGGCCCTCCTCCCCCTTGTATATTACATGAATCATCATCATCATCATCATCCTCATCATTTAATTTTATGAACATCATGGCGGAGAGCGCATGGATGGGTGTAATCTTTTTATCATTGATGATGATGATGCTAGTAAAAAATGGAAGGTTGGGACGCTTATGTAAAATTATTTAAGCAGCAGCAAATGTAACTTTAACAAGTGTCTGATAAAATGGTTGGTTTTTGTTTTTTGTAGGTTGCAATTACAAGATTATTGATTTTTATTTGATTATTGAGTTGGAAAATCCATCCTTGTTTATATGCCAATTGCCAACCACCTCCAGACCAGAATTTCATTGTCATGGACCTCATGGTGCATATAATGCATACAAACCAATGCATTTGCATGCCACAGGACGAACAAAAGCAACATGGTGTGGGGCCGCTTCTTATCTGTTATAATGTTTCTTCCCCGCATGCAGTATAGGTGTAGGTGTACAACCAGTCAATCACTAACCAGTAAGAATCCTATGGGTAGGTGGGTTTTTAGTTTTCTAGTGCTTGAACAAACACAATCGTGAAAAACAGCCAAACAAGCCATGCTGCTGCGTCGGACCAGGCCAGGCCAATCAATCGCCCAATAGTCAATCAATCAATCCTACCGGGTTACCAACTTACCATACCATGTATAAGACAATGCCTTGTTTGTTTTCTTACTAGCATTTTAAGGATGGGTGAAAGAGAGTTGGGCCTACAACTACAATGATGCAGTAAATTTGAGAATAAGATCTACCATTTGAGCATCATAATCAGGCCCCTCCATTTGGAAATGGCTCACTCCCTCAATTAGATGAGTTTCAACACGCCCAGCCGCAGATTTGAGCTTGTTCTCTAATTGTTTCACGCTTGTAAACCCATCCTTGGTGCCCATAACGAATAATTTTGGTTTTGGGGACTGTAAGATGGACTTATGGTGTCGCCCGAACAGGATTGAGGCAGTCAAACCAAAAGGATATCCCAAACTCACATAGCCCACGACTTGTTCTATCAGATCAACTGCAGAGCCCGAAATCGGAGCACCTGTGCCAAAGCAACTGCATAAGAGGGTTTATTGTTAACAATTATGTGCTAATCCTCGAATAATATAATTAAGCACTGATATTATCAAAACATTTTATAGATGATAAAAAAAATGTAGTCATAAAGGCGACCCTGCCCCGGGAAATGTTCAAGAAACAGAGGACACTGCAATAGCAAGTTAAATGAAAAAAAAAACACTACCGCAGGGCCTTGATCCTGGGCATGGAGATCCCCATTCAAATGCAAGGTCTATCTACTCCTTCCTAGCAACCATTCAATGACAGTGTTTGTCATTGGAGAATATTAGTAGGAAATATGAAGGAGCTCATGCACAAGACATCTGGCCAAGTCACCCTACTGAGAAGCTGCTACCGCATGGCTAAGCCAGAATAATTCCTGTTTGCATGGATGTGACCATGCTCACATACCAGTCTGGTTCATACGAAGCATGCATTTACATACTGTAGACAGAACCAAAAACTAGTTTAGCATAAAATCAATTGGTTTGTTCCGCCACCTAAAGGAAAAGTGGACACATGAAAGGTAAAAAGGTGTATACATGACCTATACAAAAATAGTCAAAGGACTAGAACAATTTAATGTACAAAATGATTTGCCCCTGTATACAAAAATCAAGTGTCCACACCTCTGTGTGGTGTTATTTATGCAATAATCAAGGCATCAACTCCCAAGAAGCTTCAGACTAAAATCCATCCAAGAGGGCCACCTCTTGGGAATTAAGAAGCAACTTCAATCAGTGAACCATTACAAAACCAGATTTCATGTCCACAAGCCATTTGCGTTAGCCGAATGGATCACTCCAAAGATGGCCTTCCAAAGCCTACAGCAGCCATATCCATTGAACATCTAATTGTGGACCCTAAGTATATTTGTTCTCCAAATAATTTTCCTACATTGTTTTCCCCAAACCAAGTTTTGAGCAAAACTTCATCATCAAAGCTTTCAGGTAACAAAATATCCATGCCTAGTGATTACAGCTACAAAGTTCCATATGTTTTTTTCACTCCACACTCCAATTCAATTAATAACCTTTCTCCCCTTTTCAAAATCTATCAAAGGCTTCCACCTCTTCAAATCTATTGAAAGCCTCGACCTCTACCGATCCATCTCCCTATCTGCAAATGGCTGACTATGATTTCTGGATACAGCAAGGGCATGCCAGGGTAATGTAAGGGACACGTTATTTACATTAAAAATTACAATGCCTGAGACAAAGCGCCACCAATGTAGAGGCATTAGGATATCTTTCGTGCTAATGCCAAACCTGTAATACCAATCTAAACAAGAAAATGCACCACAAATAGAATTTGGTATACAGAGGCAAGGGGGAGCTGTAGGATTGGTGCTACAATGGTCTATCCAACACCATTTGAGTGTAAACAATCTGACTTCCATGAAGTTCGATTGAGGTTCAGTGTGCAACATATTAAGGTTCCATGAAATAAAAGACTTTCTTAATTCCACCACTACAACTCCGCTTTACAGAATTCAGAATTACTGGTTCTTGCATATTAACATTCAAAGAAATCAAGCTAGAATATTCTACAACTAAAATCTATTTTCTTCTTACACCAGATAAATATATAGACCCAAAACTACAAAAAACAGAAGCGCTTCGTCAACGTGCTTAACTGAGATGTCATTATTCTTTTCAGGATTATAATAGCCCATACCAGTATTTGCACAGATTCATAACACTGCAACCTTCATCATCTCCTAAAGTAATCGGTAATATTTTTTTGATCATACAAGTAAATGTCCTGAATCATAAAACTAGAACATACACAACAATCATGAGCTTAGGCGTCTGTTGAGGGGCTCTCTCTGTACTAACAAATATATAACAAGGATTTTGATATACAGCATATCATCCAAGTCCTAATTTTTTAATCGATATCATCGGAGCAAGATCTCAAGCTTGACTATCAACCCCAAATCACACGAACCCACAGAGCATATAAATAAAGATTAAAACAATAAAGAAGAGAAAGATCAACAAAGCAGATCTACATGAATAGTAAGGAAGAATGAAATTAGAAGGAAAAAAAGGGCATGGCTACTCAACTCCTTGTAAATCATACAAAGTTGATCATGTCCCAACACTAAAAAGTGACGGAAATGGACAAAAAAATCCATCAAATAAAAAATTTCAGCTCAAGGGTCGAGCAAAAATGCAATCTGTTCACACAAAAGAATATAAGCTAGATTACTACTTCTGCTATAGAAATAATCATTTCATAGAACTCAGGATTCATCCATTATAATCAAAGATACAAACAACATAATAAAAAAAGAAACCCTCCAGAAAATTCGTCCGAAAGTCATACCTGCAGAAGAACCCACCAACAAAACCCTGTCACCAGACAAGTTCTCGGTGACCCATTTGCACACAGCAACAACATCACGGATTTCAGAAAACCCCATGAGAGAAGGTCTTCCAGTTGATTTGCCAACCCCTCTCATGTCGAAGGTAACGGCCCTGTAACCTCTCCCTGCTAACCCACTTGCGATTCCTCTCATCAGGCCTTGACAACCACCCATAATGGAGTACGGATGGACGAGGACAATTACCAGATTGTCCTTCATCTCCTCTCTTGGCTTGAACAGTCGCGTGTGGAGCTTAATTCCATCGTTGGTTTCAACCGTGCAGGATTCCACATAACAACTCCTCGTCATTGAGAGAGAGAATGGGGCTGAAGAACAACGGGGAGAGAGAGAAGCAGATATTACCGCCTTCCAGACAGGCAAGGAAGGAGGAGGGCAGGAGGGGAGAGAGAGAGAGAGAGGCAGACGTTACTGTTTTTCGATCATGGTCTGATAGGCCATCATCAATATCCCTAACTGTAAATAAAGTATGAATTTTTATTTTATTTTTTTTGAAATATTAACTCCATGACCATGAGCAAAGTATGCCAAGGCAAATAGAGAAGAGAATAGAGTTTGTCGGATCAGGGCGACGAGAGTTGTTGATACATTTGGATTGGATGTTTCCTGAATCTTCTTTTCCGGTTTCACCCTTTTTTGTCGCATTTTTTACTTTCTTGAGTAAATTATACAGACCTCCTGTACTATGGGATTAGTGACAAATACCCTCCTCATGAAATTTAATTTACAACAAAGGCCCCTGACCGTTAGACAAAAACCCCTCCATTAACGTTCAGTCAATTAACTTAATAAAAAATTCTTATTTAACTGTTTAAAATTTTATAAATGCCTAAATTACCCTTTTTTTAATTTATTTGATCAGACCTTTTATTTCTCATCCAACAAGACTGGTTGGTGTATTGTCTAACGAGAAGGGCAGCAATGAGTAGGGCCGCCAGTGATCCATTCCCGTCTAAGCAGCAACAGTGATGACCGAATTGGAGTCGTATGAAGAGTTCTAGCCTTTTTTGTGAATCAAACCGGTGCTATCATCTTTTGGAAAACTGGTAATCGGAATTGAACCGGAACCGGTACTATCATCTTTTAGAAAAGCATGTATGCTAATCGGTTTAGTTAACTGTCGTTTTTTATATTGATTAATTGAAATCAAACGGTACCTTCGAATCAACTGGTTTGGTTATTTATTCTTTTTATTTATTTTTTGTTTATTCATAATTAAAAAGGTATATTAAACTTTTTTTAACGTTTGGTGGTGAATACGTGTCACATATAGAGAGAAAATCACGTATTTACTGTCAAACGTGCAATTAATTCTATGATTAAATTAGGAGGAGACTGTAATTTCAGACTTTTGAGAGGGAGTACAGTCTATTTATTCTTTTTATTTTTTTTGTTTATTCATAATTAAAAATGTATATTAAACTTTTTTTAACGTTTGGTGGTAAATACGTGTGTCACATATAGAGAAAATCAAACAGCCTGAGCTGTTTTCTGTAAACAGCCAAAGTTTTCTCCCTCTTGCCCACGTATCCTTCGTATCTCAATCGCTGAATTATCCCCCATTAATTTGGATTATATCGACTTGATTAATTGATTCAAAAGATTTAAATTTAAATATAGTTATATTATTAAAAATTCTAAATTAATAGTATAAAATATTTTAAATTAAAAAATATGAATAATTTTCTATTTTTTCATATTAAAAAAATTAAATTTAAAATATAAAACTAAAACTGATCCAACCTCTAAAATTAATATAATAACTAAACGGAAACCAATAAAAAAATACTAAAAATTGATCAATTCAAGTCAAATTGGATTGGATTAATCGGTTTGATGAATTTGATCAACGGCCCTAATTGTCTTGGACTAGGGTAGTGGGGGTGATTGTGGGAGTTAAAGGATTCAGATGGGAACCATAAGTTCGAATCTATTCCTCACACAACGTGTCTCACACCGACCTTACAGCATGTTTAAGCTGTACATCGAGAATATATCCAATATTATTTATAAGGAGATATTCCCAATACAACGTGGGATGTACCCGTGAGGTCGGTGTGAAGCGCGATATATGAACAGCAGATCCCAATTCGAGAACCAAAGAATCGGGAGATGTTCCCAAATCCCAAATTACGTTTAAAGGCATGTGGGGCGCCAATCTGAACTCGAGAGCTAATGGGAATCTACAAACTGTCAGGGCTATTCTCGGCTTTTCATTATAACTGATAATACTATTTTTCTCGATTTAATTGAAAAAAGGGGCTAAACATAAGAGATCTACGTATAGAATCTTTATTAAATAATAAATAAAGCTCTGTAAACTAGTGTAGATTGTAGAATCCCATTAAGCACCAATCAGGACCGTACAAATATTATATACTAAAGTTGAAAGATCTATTGCTTGCACGTGTATGTCCACTATAAGATCTTTTAGATATCATCATATACGTGTACAATCAGATTTGTAAGATGAAAAGTTGTTCTACATTTTAAACATAAAATATTGTTAACTGTAGAAAATGACCAGCGATTGATATGGTGTACTGTTCTTGGTAATGGCTACAGAGCGCTTCCATCGCTATCTGTCGAGTCCCCATTGATGGCTACACTCTTCACAGAGAGAGAGAGAGAGAGCTACATGCTCAACATCTCTACATCAAACAATTCCGCTCCACTTCAGTGATAATGAGTTTCCGTTGGCTGTTTCTGTTAGAACTGCTCTCCAGGATTTGCTTTCTTCACTTGAATGGAACCCGTTATCTACTCTTTTTTTTTTTTTTTTTTTCAGTTTAATCCCTGATTTGGTTCATTTTTTCTAAATCTCTACATCAAACAATTCTTTCCCTCTTTGTCGTGATTTCACCATAATCTGCACATTTTTTTCTGCATTTCTCTGTAGTTCTAGAAAAAATTCTCCTTTTCTGCTATGATCATCCCATTTACTTTGCTCTATATTCATCGACGGCTTCACGATTTCGACCCTACGGGCACGTCCCTTTTTCCTCGTTTCTTCAATTCGTCTAGTGTTAGCTTATATTTCTGCTGATTATAAGTTTAAAACCAGCTATTAGCGTTCTTGGTATTTTCTTCCTGTAGTCGAAGTACCTATATTTTATATTTCCATACGCACTTTTGCTCCATGACGTCTCTGCAAGGTGTTTGTTTCTGCAATCAATATCAGATTTTCATTAGAACTCCTGAATTTAGATCGAAAAGATTTGGTTTCAGAAACTGCGTCTTCCGGTGTGAAGGAGGATCGCCGAGTCTGGACGGAGGGAAGAATGGAAAGAAGAAGCTTCGCATTATGATAGCCGGCGGTGGTATTGGCGGGTTAGTCCTGGCTCTAGCAGCCAAAAACAGAGGATTTGATGTCAAGGTGTTTGAGAAGAATTTGAGTGCGGTGAGAGGGGAGGGTCAGCATCGAGGCCCAATTCAGCTCCTGAGCAATGCGTTGGCAGTGCTGGAAGCCATAGATAAGGATGTCGCAAAGAAAATCATGGAAATTGGTTGCGTCACTGGTGATCGGATCAATGGCCTTGCGGATGGCCTCTCAGGTGAATGGTATATTTCTGTTTTCAGACTCTGCTGCAAACCATCTCAAACATTACTATTAATAGATCTTATTACAGACAGGATTTCCATTTTTTCTTTAGGGAATCAAAAGGGTCAAATATAGATTAGTTGAGAAGATTATTTTTGGGGTTTCAGATTCGGAGCAGAACTGAAATTCTACTGTAAATGAAACTATATTCTTTGGTTTTTCAACCTTTTTACATGTACCGAGGGCGGGGTACCAGAACACCATTTTGATGAGCTCAGCCTAAGTGATTACTTGATTTTTCTGAACCATTTATCATATAGACTGTTATGTGGATGCTTGTAAACTGACCACTCAAATGTCAAATTCAAATCAATGCCAGGGATGCCCAGATAGTTGGGCACGTCTTATAAAAAAAAAAATATCCAGAAGATTTATTTGGTGAGGCTTGACCAGTGTTCCATTGCGTATTTGTAATTTTGACTCTCACATAATGCTGCTTATTTATATATTTTTCTCATTTGAAGCTATATCGATTTTATGCTTCTAGTAATAAAAATATATTTATAAATTATACTCCCTTGTGAAAGATACTATTTAAAATCATAAGGAAATATCAACTCTTAGCCAGGCTTGCTGTTGTTGATAGTTTGTATCTCTATAAAATGTCAACACGATAGTCTGTTATCTAAGTTGCTTAGATTAAAGTTGATCATTTATTTTGGAAGAGGCAATGTATGAAAGCAAATTTTCAAATTGCTTAGGTTGTATTTAGTTAAAACTCTGGTTTTCAGAGTGAGAAACATTGGAACAGTCTTTGGTTCCTGTTCCTAATCATGCATGCTTTTAAACATGTAAAAGCCCAAAAGGTATCACGTGATCTGATGGTGTATTCTAACTTCTGAAAGATATCATCAATCCTAATTCTTCTTTCCCAAATGTCTTCTCTTCTTTGCTCCCAGTATTAATAGGGAAAAGAAAACTTATGAGGAAGAATTTGTTCATTGTAAACTTTTCCTTTTCATGGAAAATTTCACTGATCTTGTCATAAAGAAAATGTCAGGATAATTTAATAGAAACATATGAAACTGCAACCTTAGCGAACGTTTTCAGGACCAGAATTCTCAGTTTCTTACTAAACTTGGATGTTTGAAAATATTGCGCATGGAGATTATTATCAAGGCCAAGTTTTTGCTAACTGGAGTTGACTCAAAGATGAACTGGATGAAGGAAAAAGGACTAAACGTTTTTACTTTTTTTTCCTGAAACCACTGTGAGAAAAGAATGATTTTCAGACTAATAATAGTACCAGTGCATCAATAACTGTGGCTAAGAATGAATAACTCTTTGCAACTGGAAAGTAGAATTTCATTGGCTTCTTTTCTTTTTCTTGCCTCAGGTTTACCAAGTTTGATCTACTGACCCCTGCTGTAGAGAGGGGTCTCCCTGTTACTCAAGTAATCTGCAGAATGACACTGCAAGACATATTACTGGATGCCGTGGGGTCAGATATAGTTTCTAACAGATCTAATGTTGTGGACTTTGTGGAAGACTCTGATAAGGTTTGAAGCCAGTCTACTCAGTCATTTTTCAGTTAAGCTCAAAATGTTCTTAGCTGCATACTTTTCATGGAACATCAGGTTACTGTAATTCTTAAAGATGGCCGGCAGCATGAAGGTGACATTTTAGTTGGGGCAGATGGAATGTGGTCAACAGTAAGTTACTTTTCTCCTATATCATTTCACTTGGTTATCAATCATTATATGTTTACTTTGAAGCCCCTCTCTTATCTTTTCTTTCACTCTGTTAGGTACGTGCAAAATTATTTGGGGGGCAAGAGGCAAAATATTCAAATTATACATGCTACAGTGGATTAGTGAACTATGTTCCTCCCTATATTAACACTGTTGGGTATGTGATCTGAAATATCTTTACAGAATTGTGCCCCATGTTAATTCAATACTTGCTTTCATGTTTGATGTTTTCTGGTGAAGGTATCGGGTGTTCTTGGGCTTGGACCAATATTTTGTTGCTTCAGACGTTGGAGATGGGAACATGCAATGGTACGGGTTCCATAAGGAACATCCTGGGAACACTGATCCTCCCCGAGGCAAGCTCCTCTTGCCCTAAAACCCAAGGTTATGTGATTAACTAAATGGCCCATGAACCAGAATTGGATAGCCCCATTAAGAAGATGCATTTCCTTAAATGATACAGGCAAGAAAAAGAGGCTTCTTCAATTGTTTGGGAGCTGGTGTGATGAAGTCACCACTCTAATATCAGAAACACAAGAACATATGATACTAAGAAGAGACGTCTATGATAGAGACATGATTTACTCCTGGGGAAGAGGGCGTGTGACTTTGTTAGGTGATGCTGCCCATCCAATGCAGCCAAATCTTGGCCAGGGGGGTTGCATGGCAATTGAGGTGTGTGACATTATTACCCTATTTAGTTCTGTGCATGTGATTAATTCTGAATTGAGAAAGAAATAAGATAACAATGACCATAATAATCTTTTTCAGGACTGCTACCAACTTATACTTGAGCTTGAGAAGGTTTTTGAGCATATCAATGACGCTCAAGTGTTTGAAGAAATTGCTTCTGCACTTAAAAGGTATAGTTCATGTTGGTAACAAAGTAGTAAAAGTAGAATGAATTCATCTTGTATAGAATCCTGGTACTGGTAAACCAGAAGAATGTTCTATCAATTGGTCCAAGCAGTCACATGTTTGGGTAGTACTGTCCAATAGAGTCAGTTTAGTATTAGGGGCCTCCCAATTTGTACCCAGTGAATTGCAAATCAAGATCCAATGGATGCAACTGCTGGATGACCATTCTGTTGATGGCTGAACCAAAAGGTCTCTGTCCAAAGTTTGTATCTTGTTATATTTTCTTCTGTGAGTTGCTTGTGAATGAAACATGCCTGGATTGTATGCTTTATGCAGATATGAGAAGAAAAGGATGTTTCGAGTCAGTGTGATACATACATTGTCACGGATGGCATCAAGAATGGTTACCAAGTACCAACCTTATTTGAATTTTTCACCAGGTCCTCTCTCTGTAAGTCATTCATTCCTCGGTTGCTACTGTAATATCTTTGGTCCCATGTCATTGGAAATAATATGGACTTGTTTGGTGATTAAGTTCTCCTTTTCTATTGTTTTTTTTAAAGGTATGCTGTATTGTTATCATTGTCTGTTGCAGTTCTTGACAACACTGCGTATAACACACCCTGCATTTCACGGTGTGCGTCTCTTTTCCCAGCTTGGAATGCCTCAGTTGATGACTTGGATGCTTTCAGGTCATGGGTAAGGTTTCCTCTTATCAAATTTATCCAACCTATTACACAGAAATAGCCTGTATTATAAGATAAGTTTGGAAGCAGAGCTAGCTGTTGGGTCAAAATTTCCACCCACAAGCTTTAAGGCTGCATTTGGGTTAGGGAGGCAAAGGAATCAGGGAAGGGAATTTATGACCCCAAAATTCCACAAATTTCCAGATTAATAAACTTTTGGCTCCAAAAAGGCACCATGCAGAATTCTGGCACTCACTGGTGCATTGTTGTATTTGAGGTTGATTATATTCTTTTTGTTTGATAAATCCTTCTAAACCAAATTGTTCATGTGGCTTTCCTTGAAGGTTGTGAAAGAACAAACAAGAGAAAGGACCAGAGGAGCCAGGCTTTAAACTCTACAGAGGATGTACAATATGCTAGAAAAAATAAGGATGAACAAAACAAGTCTGCTCTCGATAGCAGTTTACTGTTTGTTTGCAAGCGCAACTGCCAATAAGCTGTTAATTGGGAATCAACACAAGGAGGAATGATAACATGGGGGTTTGCCATTAAAACTGAGGGAAGGAATTTTTTATGCATGGTAGCTTTGAATGCTGCGTGAAGAGTTGTGATGAATACCCCCTTTCGGCTATATCTATATGCTTCCTTATTAATTTATATATATTATAACACAGAAACTTGTAATTCCCCCAAAAAAAATCTCTTATGAAAGCTTTAAGGAGAGAAGCCTATTAGCCGAATATATTAACCAGATTCAACACAGAAGCTTGTTATCCCCCCCAAAAAAATCTTTTATCGAATAGGGTGTGTTTGCCAATGTGTGTATGATCTTATTTTTCAAAAACACAGCCCTGTATCAGAATCAACATCTCATTCCATTTCACTGTACAAACCCACAAGCCACAAAACAAATAACAGTTCCAGAGATAAATGCGAGATGATTGGCACTAGAAATTGATCAGCTGCAATCCAGGAAAAACGTAAATCCAACTGATTAAATCGAGATATAATAAGATGGGTCCAACCATTCCCTTTAGTAAATGAATATAAATATAAATATGCATAGTGCAAATCAGTGTTCCTGAACCGTTGTTGACCTGGACGGTTAGATTGTTCAGTATAGGAATCATCCAAGCAACCATTTCTATTTCACCCTTAACCCGTTTATTGTCTAAAAACTATTGATTAGTCAATGACCCACTGATCTGGGTGCTTAAACTGCTGGCCCATTTAATTCTGATAATGGTTTTTGATCGTTTTTATTTTTTATTTTTATTGGAACAAGCCATTCATTCGAACCGTACAATCAAACTGCTGATCCAAAAATTGTTGGACAAAGTGGTTTCTGATGTATCAATTTTTTGTGCCAAGTACCTCGTCATTTGGTCTGTTTCCAAGTGGCCGATGACTCAGAGGCTAAAGTGAACTTTTGCTGGATGAGGACCTGGATGTCGAGTTGACTAGGACGAGCTGGGGGCAGATTAGGTGCCGAGTTAACTGAGCCGAGCTAGGTAGGTTAGGTGTCGAACTGACTGGGCCGAGCTAGATAGGTTAGGTGACGAGCTGACTGAGCTGAGCTAGGCAGGTTAGGTGACGAGCTGATTGGGCCGAGCTAGGCAGGTTAGGTGACGAGTTGACTAGAGTGTCGAGCTGCTTATTAGGTGCCGAGTTGACCAAAGTGTCGAGCTGGATTAATTGTTGAGCTTCGTAGCTCTTTAGAGACCTGCGAGGAACCAATGTCAGAGGACCCGGGGTGGCTAACCCGGCGAGGTTGCTCCGATGCTGAAGTTAGTACTCTCATAGTAGACTGCAAGCTAAAAATCATAAAGTATGAGAGCTAGAATATGCTTACTTTACCCCATGTCGTTGCGGTTGGAGTCTTTATATAGGCGTTGTTTGGCGTGGGTTTCATGCATTATATCCGAGATTTCTGAGAAGTCGTTCAAGTGGTTCGAGATTCCTTGAGGTAACCACCATGCACATTGACCACCCTCTGGATCGTTCGGTATATGGGCCAACTTCCAAGGATCGTGGGAGTGTTTGAATATGCATGCCGAATTCGTCGACGAGCACATATTGCAAGTCGCCGCTTGTGTCAGGCTGCCAGGTCACGCCAGGGCCAGGCCGCCAGGTGGGACACCACCTAATTGTTCCGAGGCGCCACATGTCACAATATCATTGGAGGGCCAAATCCGCCCTCTTCAGTTCCAATTTCGGGTCAGTTTTTAAAAGATTGGTGAAAATATAAGGATTAGCTTATGTTTCATTATTTTATCGAGTAATATTTTGACAACTTTCTCCGCGTGTTGATAAGGAGGTTGAACAACTCAAAGTTATCAATATTGTAAATCCGGGTAAGTTTTGGCATGGAAATGGATTGGTGTACTGTACATATTTCTATTTGTACTCTTAGCGTGGCTGCGTTTTATACAATGTTGTTCTTGCATCAATTTGCCACATTGGCATGTTGAAGAAACAGCTTAAAATGAAAGTGTTTACTGTTTACTATAGAAAAGCAATGCAACGAAATCACATTTTTGACTTTTTTTTTTTTTTTTCTTTTTGAGAATCCTGGGGTATTGCAACCTGCAACTTTCTATAAAGCCATTCTGATTTCTGACATTATACATTCGAAAGTAGAACACGGAAACATAATGGATTGTCAAATGTTCGTTCTAACGATTCCACATATATTCCAAAAATCCACATCAGCAATATGTAGAGTTAATGGACGATCAACAACCGATTGTGTCAGTGTAAAATGGCTTTTAAAAGAGGGTAAATTGTTGAAACGTCCCCTTAAATATCAAAGCAGTTACATTTAATCAATGTTTATTTTTCAAATTTTTTCTTCATATGATTCGTTAGTCCAAACTCTTTTTATCTCTTTTTTTTTAAATGGATTTATTTTTCAAATTTGTCCTTTAAATCAATGAATCAAAGATAAAGAATATATTTAGTTTTGTTTACGTTTTTTCATTCAACATTTATACTTTATTTACTTATAAAACCGAAAAAGGTAATAATTACAACCGTTTATAACAATTAGGTGCCACTAGGCACCACCACATGAACGTAACAGTGAAAAATGCTTAACCATTTGATGAAGCTTTAAAAAATAATTTTGTCAAATGTTAGGTATGCATAGAAACTGAAGTCACCTTTTGCTATTTTCGATGCATATGGAAGAGCATGAGATGGAAACTATTGAAATGGCACCTATGTGGCAACATTTATTGAATAAATGCCCACGGAACCAAACACCCTAAAAAATGCAACTTCAAATTCTCTGCTTTTTTTCTTGGGGATAAATTATACGCCCCCCCATATTACGGGTTCAGTGACAAAGACCCCCTTCCTATTTTTTTGTGACAAAAACCCCTCTAAATTTTGACAGTTAGATAAAGACCCCCTGCATTAGCGTTCATTTATCATCGGAAAAAATTAGCATTTAGTTATATTATTTTTAAATACTCAAACTACCCTTTTTTTTTAATTTTTCATTTTCAAACCATTTTACCCTTCATACACTTTTAAAACATGGCCTTACCGAGTTATCTCCTGTTTTCTTCTTTCGGATGTGTTCAAGCTTCAAAGCAAAGGAGAGGGGGGTTTTCCCTGGTAGCAACGTTTCAGCAGAGACCATCCCTCTCCGGGAGAGAGAGAGAGAATGCTGTTAGTTGGTGAGTTAAAGAGTTGGAAACGTATCTATGTTTAATCTAATGCAACTGCAAGGTATTGAAGCATATGACAAATGCAACTGTTAGTTGGTGAGAGAATGCCTTGGTATTGAAGCATATGACAAATGCAACTGCAAGGAACGTATCTATGTTTAATCTAATGTTCTCCGTACACAAAGCGGAAATGAGGAAAAGTCTACAGAGGATGGAGAAGGTGAAAGGGGCGTGTAAGAATAGAATGCAGATGAAGAGAATGTAGGAATACAAGATGAAGAAGAAAGTGCTCATCCCTGCTACTTTGCTCAATGTGCTCAGCCCATACATGCTCGCTCCACTCTCTCTTTTCCTTTTCAAAGACAGAGGGATTGCACACTACAACTGCATTTTGCAATTCTACACAATCAACAATGAAGGAGGGTTACTTTACTAAATGCCAATTATTATGATTTAACTGTCTCTATCAAATCGTATGGAAATTAAATCAAGAAGGTCTTCAATGTATTGCAGCCATGAATATGGGCATCTTTTTAACATCAGTTCGCGCATCACACAGTGTTGGGGACATGGCTTGGCCCAGAGGCCCACGGCCACCTATCACAGCTCGGCCACGTTGACATAGTCCGGCCGAGCTATGGCATTATCGTAATCCCACCGACCACGTCAGCTACGCGTTATACGGATAATCTCACCTAGTGGATAGAGATGAGAAGAAAAATCCGTCGAGTAGGACTCTACCCTCTTGTAACCTCGGCAGGGAACTTTATCCCGATTTTCTTGGAACTCTACTCCGTCCAAGATACGGACCCTTTGGCTATAAAAAGGTACTCCATGCTCAAGGTAAGGCATCTCCCAACTTCTGACACCCATACTACCACTTAACTGGGACCAACACCCTTATAGCTCGGCCCGACCATCCACCACCTTCTACTCACTTGAGCGTTGGAGTACTTACCCGGGGATAACTCCTCAGACCTCTGACTTCTTCCTTGATCACAAGTCTTGAAGCGCGGCCTCGTCCTTAAAGCTCGGCTCCGCCCTGCCAGCAAGGACTATCTGGTTGCCCTCCTCAGTTCGTACATTACATCGGATTGAGCAGCATCAAACTAGCGTCGTCTGTGGGAACTTACAAAAAGTTCTCCCAAAAAATTCCTCCTACGCAGCTTCAAAGTCAATTAAGATCCCTAAGAAACATTCTGAACGATCTGTAGGTCGTTCCCCATCTTGGGAGAACCGACTCCTCGCATCAAGAAGCCCTGCAACCTTCGGCCGCAATAGATTCAGTGCAATTTCGAGCCATGCAAGAGAAGGTCGATAAGATCTTCGAGTTCATGCAGACACTAGGGTCCGCTGTGCCACCCAACCGGGTTGTCCCCCCTCACACCCCGACATGCACGAATGACAATCCTTGGATCAAGAATTCCAAAGCGCAACGGTCAAATGTAAGGGGAGAGCGGTCTGAGTGTATGAGGCAAGACATTACCCGAAGGCCCGCCTCTACTGCCCGCTCCCGTGGATAGGACCACCATAACCAGACATGCCCGTCAGCGTGCATCCCTGCCAAAGAAAGGCTCGGCAAAAGGACACCGCCCTTTGTGGTCTCTGTCACCGAGTCAAGCTCGGTCAAGGATCACCCCGCACGACCCAAGAGGGAGGCCATACATACTACGACCCCGGACAACAGAGATGCCGAGATCAAAGAGCTCTGGCAACGTTTGGAAGAGCTAGAACGCACTCAGACCCACAAGAGCGTAACTCTCGCCGTAGACCAACCTGTGCAGGCCACTGCGCATATCACCAAGGAGCCGCCCTTTGTCTAGGACATCGTAGACGAGATACCCCCTGCTGGATGGCGAGCCCCCCAATTCAACAAGTACAGCAGGAATTCCGATCCTTTCGACCATGTCACGGTGCTCAAAGCCCAAATGATGCTACACGACGCGTCAGAGGGACT